TCAGTTTAGAAGCTCTGAGAGATTGTGCATCAAGATACTGAAGAATACTGCCTGTAGTGGCTTGGTGCAGTAGATGTAGATTTTTTTTTTAAATTTAGAACCTCCTTTAAATATTAGATATTCCTGCTTAGGGAAATGCTTAATCATTTGTTAACACTATATACCTATGTGTGTGTTTTATAGAGTTGTTTATGTGAGAAGGATCTTTAGCAAATTAGGGGCTAATTTGGAGCCATGCACATAGAAATTAATTTAGTCTCATTACTAACACCGGAAGTGATGGGGTTTTAGGAGACTCAGTCCAAACAAAAGCAACAGAAGAAATTGAGAAAAATGTTACTTTTTTGTTGCTCTTTTTTTAGACCACAGAGTCTTTGGGATAGGGCTTAAAGGCTCTGTTTTCAAGAAAAGTCTTAGAAATTTCTGCCAAATTTGGCCTAGTGTTTCTTTGTCATATAGAAGTTTAGGGGGAAAGTGTATTCTAGCAGAATCATGGAACCAAAGTTAAAAGTGTCACAGGAACTTGGTTTACTAGATCTAAGTTCTAGCCCAGGATCTTACTGGTTAAAAGGAAATCTACTGTTCCTCTCACTCACTGTTCCTTCCTAGTGTGTTTTTATATACTTATCAGCTTTCTTTAACTAATGGCTGGGCATTTTAGTACTCAGGTTGTAAAAATGAGCATTTCTAGATTATACCTATGGAGACAAATGAGGTGGAATGGCATAGGACCAATGGCTAGGCAAAAGTGCCATTGAAGCTGTACTCAAAGCAAGTTCTTACTCTTAAAATTAATTTCTGTCTCTGCATTGCTCTCCTTCCCACATGTAACACCAATAAGTTCCAAAAAGCACATGGACAACATCTTGCTCACCACAGTGTCTCCAGTACCTCCCAAAGGTTCTGATTCATGCTGGGTACTTAATAAATATTTTTAGACTTATCATCTGTTAGTGGTAGTCATTAAAATAAAAAATTATTTTAGCTCCATCTTGGATCTCAAGAAATTTGCTTATACCTTTCAGTCTCCCCCTTCCTACTCAATCACTCTTCTAAATGAAGAGTAAACAGTGTTCTTGGTCAGATTGTCACATCCAATCTGGGTACTGATCCAAAGCCCAGATAATTAGAACTGTTTAGATTTTCAAGGAGTTTTGCTTTGTAGGTGTTGTGTATTTCTGATATAATTCCATAGATGATTACCTTAATTGTGAGTAAATAAGGGCCATCATACAGCTACTGTTCTCTTTATTGCCTTGGGTTAAATTTTAGAGAATCACTCTCACATGTGACTGATAGAAGACTCTTGAATCTAACTAACTGAGATTATTGTACTTGTAATGAAGAATCTGGCCACTCTTCCTAAAGTTATACTCGTAGGAGCTATAACTCCTAGGTACTGTTTCCTAGTTCACTTTTATAGGGAAGGCACCTGATCTTAGGTACCATAAAATGCTATTGTTTAAAGATAGCCTCTCTGAGAATTCAGTTCATCTTAGTACTGCTGAGTAGTGTTGATCAGTAGTTTAATGTTGGTCACTGCGAGACCCCCAATTAATGATATTTCTCTTCATTTCCTATATTTGAGCATATCATTAAAACCAAGACATGACAGAGGAGCAAAATAAAACCTTTATTACTGATAAATTACAATACAAAATCCCAGTGGATATACTCGTTAAACCCTAGAATTTAGCAGATTTAACCATAGTCACAAGCAATGCAAAATCAGCTCTAGCTGAAGGGGCAGTGGAGGCCTCTTATTTCCTGAGGCCTCTAGCTCTTTAAAGGAAAAA